TCCAGCATCCTGTCTCACACAGTGGCCAGCCAGTTCCTCTGGAGGGCCAACAACAAAGCATAGAGGCCGAGGCCTTCCCCTGATAAGAACACAAGAAGAGCCCTGCTGGATCAGACCAGTGGTCCATCTAGTCCAGCATCCAGTCTCACACAGCGGCCAGCCAGTTCCTCTGGAGGGCCAACAACAGGGCATAAAGATATGCTGGATTTTGGCCTTTTTAAAAAAACAACAACACCAAGCTGCCACTCTTGAGTGAGTTTCCAAAATTTGATTCATGACCTAGGCTGTTGGTTTACTCCTCAAAGGGGTTTAGAGGTGCCATCCTCCTGGCGATCATCCAAAATTAAAACCGATCTCCAGACAAAAGAGCTCTGTTCTCCTGGAGAGAATGGATGCTTTGGAAGGTGGATTCTGTGGCCTTCTGTCCTGCTGAGGTCCCGCCTTTCCCCAAACCCCGCCCTCCCTGGGCTCCACCCCCCAAATCTCCAGGAATCTCCCTCCCCAGAACTGGCAACCGTAGTCCGAGAGGCCGGAAGAGCAGCACGAAGGGATTACAGCGGCAGACCTCCAGGAGAAGTGAAGGCTTAAGTACCCCCTTCGCAGGGCTTTTTTGTAGAAAAAGCCCAGCAGGAACTCATTAGCATAATAGACCACACCCAACAGCAGGAACTCATTAGCATATTAGGCCACACCCCTGATGCCATATCTCATTAGCGTATTAGGCCACACCCCCATGTCACCAGAAGTGTGCTCATCCAGCCACACCCACCGTTTGCTTCTTATTCTGTTTGCTTTGTGGTCCAAACCCAGGGACTTTTTTTGTAGCAGGGACTCCTTTGCATGTTAGGCCACACACCCCTAATGTAGCCAATCCTAATGGGTTTCTGCTGTTGGGTGTGGCCTATTATGCTAATGAGTTCCTGCTGGGCGTGGCCAACTCGGGAGCCAGCCGGAACTCCGTTCCTGTGCGTTCCTGCCCCAAAACAGCCCTGCCCCTTCTCCATCCTTCTACTTCTCTGCCCCCGATTGCCAGATCCTGAAAGTTGACTGTCAGGGGGTTTGCTACAAATATTTTTGCATAACGGGTACTTTCGTCTTCTGTTTTTCTGTTGGATTTTCTGTCAGATGTCCTGGTATTTTAAACACTCTCCATCCTGCCCTCTCAAAAGGCTGTAACACTTTCAACCCAACCGAGTGCAAGAACGTCCATGTCGGTGACTCATCACAAATTGCGTGCCCAAGATGATAAAACAGGAACATTACTGTGTATGGTTACCGACTCTGGGGCAGTGTTCCCTCTAAGCTGAGTTAGTGTGAGCTAGCTCACGGTTTTTTAGCCTCCGGATCACACCTTTTTGTCTTAGCCCAGGGAGGAGGGCTCCAGAGCAAACTGATTTCTGCAGCAGCCAAATCGCTCGCTCACCACTTTAATGCCGGTAGCTCACAAAGTAGAATTTTTGCTCACAAGACTCCACAGCTTAGAGGGAGTATTGCTCTGGGGTAGGAAATCCCTGGAGATTTGGAGGTACAGCCTGGGGGGGGGCAGGGTTGGGGGAGGGGGAATGACAGTGGGGTGCCCTGCCACAGAGTCACCCCCCTCCCCTCCAAAGCAGCCATTTCCTCCAGGAGAACGGATCTCTGGAGAGCACTTGAAATTCCAAGAGATCTCCATAGGGTTGGGAACCCTGTCACTGCAACAGAAATATTCCCAAACACTGCATATTTTTAACTGTAGGAAGAAGGGGTTGGCCCAAGGGGGTTTGGTGCCCTAAACAGGTTTTGCTCCCCCCTTCACTGGGGAGAAAAGTGAAGACATCCCATTGAACCTCTGTTAAAGGGACAGGACATTTTTTTTCTCCAGGCTGCTGGTTGTAAACTAGGAGGAGGAGGAAGGAGGAGGAGGAGGAGATTGGATTTATACCCTGCCCTTCACTACACGAAAAAGACTCAGAGCGGTTTATAATCCCTTTCCCATCCCTCCTCCTCCCCACAACAGACACCCTGTGAGGTAGGTGGGGCTGAGGGAGCTCTCTTTCGAGAACTGCCCTTGAGAGAACAGCTCTGAGAGAACTTATGACTGACCCAAGATCACACCAGCAGCTGCATGTGGAGGAGTGGGGAATTGAACCTGGTTCTCCCAGATTAAAGTCCGCGCTCCTAACCACTACACCAAACTGGCTCTCTTATCATCCAGATCTTTCCAATGGAATGCAACTTATTATTTATTTACTTCATTTATGCTTCACCTTTCTCCCCAATGGAGGCCCAAGTTGGCTTACATAGGTCTCCTCCATGTTATCGTCACAACAACAACAACCCTAGATAGTCCAATAGTATGATTCAGTATAAGGCAGAGGTCCCTCTAGGCAGCATAGGCTTTTTTGGCACCCCTGTAACTCTGCCGCCCTAGGCAATTGCCTCAGTTCGCCTAGCGGTTGAGCCGGCCCTGGTGGTAAGCAGTCATAATGGGACTGCAAACAGGACCGTTCTCCCCAATTTGTCTTGGCCAAAATGCCAGTATGGCTGTGTTGGTACAATCCACAATGCATGCCATTTCAGGGAAAGGCACAGCTGCAACCTCAGAGGACCCCAGGAGCCATTCACGGCGATCTCAGTGCAATTTAGACTTCAGAACCATCAAGAGAAGCACTTACAGCTTGGAGAGTTTGTAGACAAATCTGGTTCTTGTTGGTGAGGTGGGGTCGGAGATATTCTCCCTGCTCTTCAGAGGAACTCTGGAGAAGCCAAGAGAAAAGTTATCAACCAGGTCGTTCCAACAGAATGCAACTTATTATTAATTTACTTCATTTATACTTTACCTTTCTTCCCCATGGAGACCCAAGTTGGCTTACATAATTCTCCTCCATTCTACCTTCACGACGACAACAACCCTATGAGGTAGGTCAGTCTGAAAGTGTGTGGCTGGTCCGAGATCACCCAGCAAGCTTCCACGCCACAGTTGGAGATTCAAACCTGCTTCTCCCAGATCTGAGTCTGACGCTCTAACCACTACACCACTGCTCTAACCCCTGGCTCTCAACTTATATGGGGTGACGGATTCTCTCTCCTCCCACTGAGTCTGTAGACATGGAAAGACACTATGAGTAGTGGAACAGAGCTTTGGGGTCTAACCCAATGGCTTCCTACATTAGGGGATGGAGAGTGGTGAGTCTTTCCCTGAAGTGTTATCAGGGGCCTGTCCTACTGACTGGTTCTGCCATGTCATCCCCACATGTGGCTTGAGGTGAGGTTCACTAGGTCGGGGAAAACCACAGTTGTGATTTAGCCAAGCCAAACTATGGGCCCCTGTAGATGATCAAACTACTCCAAAGTTCTCGTTTTCTCTCTGTTATGTAGTGGGTTGCCGCATGGATAGACGACCGACGACGACATGGTGCATGGCACGCTTTATTTGGTACACAACAAGAACAAGGACAAACGGCCAGCAGGCCAACTATATACACACCTGGGGACACACCCCTGGTCACCATTGGTGGGTTTGAATCTCCCGCCATGGTTCCCATTGGTTCCCCAGTGGAGGGACTAGGAGCCTAGTCCCTATTGTTCTTCCAGAGCCAAGCTCTGGCTGTTCGCTGGCCCCCGGTGGTGGTCAGCATACACTACACTCTCTCTCCCTCCCTCTCCCTCCCGCTCTCTCTCTCTCTCTGGTCCTTTCCGCACTAGACCTTAAATTCTGGTTCAACCCCGTCCCCGAACTTACATTGTACATTACACTTGAGTTCACCCCTGTAATTATCTCGAGTTATAGTTTTTGTTTCCACAGTACATTGAGGTCACCCCAGTTTCGCCTCACACTTGTCCCAGGATAAATGGATGCTGTTATAACCAGGGATAAATGCAAGGTATTGTGTTGCAAGTTGAACTCTGATAAAACCAGGGATGAGATCCAAGTGCGGAAAGGACCTCTCTCTCTCTCTCTCTCTCACACACACTCACACACACACACACACACACCCCTGAGGGCAATTTGATCACCCATACCATTAAGTCAGTTAGTAAAGAGGTACTGCTGTGTGGTAAAATGGGTGGTAGTGTGTGTGACAACATGGTTTTTCAGTATGGGCTCAGAACCATACACAAGGAGAATAAAGAGTTCTGTGTGACCTTAAAGACTATGGACAACTGAACATAGGCAGGGAAATGAGGCGGCAGAAGGATGTGGTAGAACAACTGCAGGCTTCAGGGGGCATTTTGGAATATCCCCCTATGTTAAAGTCCTCTGTGAAAACGGGAAACTTGCACAGCAAGCAAAGAGAAGAGGTATGTTTTTTCCTCGTCATTGTGCTAGTTTCATTGGGGTGAAGTTTTTAATGTGAGGGAATGTTCAAAGCTGGAATTTCTTCCGCATGTATGAAACAGGCCTAATTGTCTGATTGCCAAATAGGGTTGCCAGGTTTCCTGCCAGTTGTCTCCACTGGAGCGGCAAAATACAACTTGCCTTGCTGGTATATCACTTCTGGATAAAAACTGGAAATGACAATGAGTCACTCTACGAATCACTGGGAACTTTATGGTTTTGCCATAGAGTTTCTGACCATTCCTAGAGCTACCCATTATTACGTCTGGGTAGAGCGAAGTCACTGATGTCATAGGACCCCCCCCCCATGTCTGCATTGGTCTGGTCACCTGTACATGACAGTACAGAAGAAAAAACGAAACAAAGCAAAACAGGGTGCTACATACATGATGCGGATGTTTCTCTCCAAGACTTGTTCTTCAGGATTGTCTTTGGAAGGGACAAATTTTGAAGTCACCTTCACACACTGGCACTTATTGTCAACCACGACTGACTCCTCCTCTCGTGGGTCATCATAAAAAGCTTCAAACAACAACAAAAAGTTTTGATCGTGAGATGAAATAAGAACATTTGCATCAGTTGTCACTCCTGGAGGTCCCGCCTGGAGATTGGCATCCCTAGGTGAGGCTGTGGAGGTGACTGGTCCAACATCAGCCTATAAAGCTTCCAAGCTGCGAGGATTTGAACCTGGGTTTCCCAGAACCTTGTCTGATACAAGCCAGTACACCACACTGTCTTTACTTTGAAAAGCAGTGAACAGCAGTACAGACAGGGGTCGTTTCGTAGAAAAAGAGCTAGGGGAACTAATTGATGCATAACTCATTAGCATATGCCACACCCCCTGACATCACCGGAAGTGTGTCATAAGGCCACACCCCCTGACATCACCGGAAATGTGTCATAAGGCCACACACCCCGCCCCCAACGGTCCCGGCCGGCGGGAGTGCAAGGAAGCCCCGTAAAGGCCCTCCTTGGCCCCAGGCAGGCAGGGGTGGGGAGAGGCAGGGAGGAAGCAACTTCCCCTCCCTCTTCTCCTGCCTCCTCCTGGCTGAATGAGGGCCGGAAGCGGGGCGGCCGGAAGCAGGGGGCGCGGCTTCGTCATGTGCCCCGCCCCCCGTGCCTCACGCGGGGGAACTGCGATCCCCCGCGATCCCCCCCGAAATGACCTCTGAGTACAGATATCCTCTTGGAGATGTAGGGAGACGTCTCACCCTGTTGAATTTCTGCCTTTCCTTTAGCTGTTAAAGCACAAGAGCCTTGCCAGGGTAAAAGGGGCCACATGCTTTGATCACACCCCTCCCCATTCACTCGCGTATTTCCTATTTACCACGGTCACTTCTGGGTCCATACTGGGCAGTGTTCCCTCTAAGCTGAATTAGTGTGAGCTAACTCAGTTTTCTAGCCTCCGGCTCACACATTTTTGTCTTAGCTCAGGAAGGATGGCTCCAGAGCACACTAATTGATGCAGCAGCCAAATCGCTGGCTCACAACTTGAATGCCAGCAGCTCACAAAGTAGAATTTTTGCTCACAAGACTCCACACCTTAGAGGGAGCATTGATACTGGGTATACCTCTTGGCTGAGTGGAGTCCCTTCCATTCCCACATCCAAGCTTCCACATCCAAAACAATTTTCTGGTAATATTTCCGAATGCAATGAGAACTGTAAAGCGGTTTTCTTACCGCAGAAGTTGCTACAGACGTGATGAATAATAACGTTCGAATGGCATCCTTGCAAATGGTAGCAGGTGTGTGGTTAGCATATCAGACTAGGATCTGGGAAACTCAAAACTCAGTTCCCCTCTCTGCCATGGAAACTTGCTGGGCTACTCACACACTCTCAGCCTAACCTACCTAACAGGGTTGTTGTGAGGACAAAATAGAGAAAGGGAGAATGTTGTAAGCCACTTTGGGACCTACCCACTGGGGGGAGAGGTGGGGTATAAATGAGAGAAGAAGGAGGAGGAGGAGGAGGAGGAGGAGGAGGA